TTATTATTTGTTTTTTGTTTGTTTTTTTTTTGGGGGGGGGGTGTAAAATTGTGAAATGGATGATACACTGTAACCAAAAAACACATTTCTTTGAAAATTTCTCTGGTAAAAACATATGCATGGTCAAATTGGGAAATATAACGCTGAAGTTTGGGGTCAGTAAGATTTTTGTTTTAAGAAGAAATTATTGCTTTTATTTAGCAAGGATGTGTTAAATTAATCAAAAGTAATAGTAAAGGCATTTATAATGTTACAAATTATTTCTATTTCTATTTATGTTCATTATAGATTCCTGAAAAATGCATCATGCTTTCAACTGTAATAATAATAAGACATTTTCTGGAGCAGCAAATCAGGATATTAGTATAATTTCTGAAGTATTATGTGACAGTAGAGCCTGGAGGAATGGCTGCTGAAAATTCAACTTTAAATACATTTTAAAATATATATATTTTTTAAATTATATTTTACAAACATTTTAGAGAAATGGAGTAATGGCTGCTGAAAATTCAGCTATAAATAAATTTTGAAATATATTAAAATACATTTTAAAATATATTAAAATAGAAAACTCGTATTTTAAATTGTAATAATATATTTTTTTATATATAATATAAAAATATATATTTTATATATATATATATTTTGATCAATTAATGCATAGACAAGCTGGGTCCAACCATAGACAGCCTGGGTCCACTTTTGTCACTTGTCATTCCAGTTCAAGATTTTAAACCCACAATATCATTTATATAATGAACTATAGTACATTTTCTATTAAGTTCTATTAAGTATATTTGCATCAGCTTGTTCAGTAGTGACTTTATGCTTTCAGGGTATCACAGGATGACTTGCTGCACATGGAGACCCCTCCAGTCCGGCACGGTGGCTGAACTGAGACGCTTCTTCATCGGCGGCGCTCCTGAACTCGAGGACATCAGTTATGTCAGAGTGCCTGGCACTTTCAAGGTGACTCATTATACATTTCCTGCTGTGAAGATTTGTACTAGCATGTCCAGTAATTCAATTGAACAATTTAATTGATTGCATCTATTTTTAGGGAAAGCGATTGAGTCGCTTTGGCTTTCGCACTCAAACCACTGGAAGTGTGACCTTTACTCTTAATTGTATCCAGCATGCCAGGTTGGCCAACACAATCAGTGCATTTTGTGATTGCAGCAGTACTATTTTGCACCTTTGAGACTATAAGAGCTTGTTGTATTTTATTCAGGGCTTTTATTGATGCCAGCACCCTGAAGAAAAGAAGACAAACTGTTCTGGATCAGCTGGGCGGCCACAGTCAGCAGGGCTCTGTCTATAATGTTCTGGGTAAGACAGGCCTAAATAGCTTCAGGACCTTTATTGCTATTAATTAGAGGTATTTGCTAAGGTAATTATTAATTTTAACAAAAAACCTAACCCTAAGTATTATACTTCAATAATTATTTCGTCCCACAATGCTTATGTTACTGGGATGTTTGATACCTCAAATCATGCAGTTTGTTGAGGATTTTACTTCACTCATTTTGCCAGGCGAAAATCTTAAGTCTGCTCGCTAAGAAATGTAAATGGCACTATCATTTAAGCATTTAGGGTCAGTGAGATTATTTTTTTAAAGAAGGAAATTAAAGCTTTTTTTTTTTTAGCAAGGATGCATTAAGTTGATTAAAAGTGACAGTAACAACATTTATAATGTTACAAAAGATTTCTATTTGAAATAAATGCCGTTTTGTTTATTAAAGGGAAAAAAATATCTTTCTATTCTTAAGCACCAAATCAACATATTAGAATGATTTCTGAAAGATAATGTGACAGCAAAAACTGGAATAATGATGCTGAAAATTCAGCTTTGCCATCACAGGTATAAATTAAATTTTATAGTATATTAAAATAGAAAACAGTTATTTTAAACTGTAATAATTTTTCACAATATTGCTGTTAAAGGAGCACTCCACTATTTTTGAAAATAGGCTCATTTTCCAGCTCCCCTAGAGTTAAACAGTTGAGTTTTACCATTTTCGAATCCATTCAGCCGATCTCCGGGTCTGGCAGTAGCACTTTTAGCTGTAGCTTAGCATAGATCATTGAATCTGATTAGACCGTTAGCATCTCACTCAAAAATGACCAAAGAGTTTCTATATTTTTCCTATTAAAACTTGACTCTTCTGTAGTTACATCGTGTGCTAAGACCGACGTAAAATGAAAAGTTGCGATTTTCTAGGCCGATATGGCTAGGAACTATTTCTAAAATATCGAAACTCTTTGGCCATTTTTGAGCGAGATGCTAACGGTCTAATCAGATCAGTACAGACTCACAAGATATCATATTTTACAGGATGTACAGTGGTGTGAAAAAGTGTTGGCCCTCTTCCTGATTTCTTATTTTTTTGCATGTTTGTCACACTTTAATGTTTCAGATCATCAAACAAAT